GGGGGGGGGGGGGGTCCATCTGTCTCGTGGATAATTTAGAAACCACTGACGTCAACGACCCGGTGCCATCACTGACGCTACAAGACACGAGGACGGAACAAAACAACGTGAAAACATCCACAGTGTGGATCAGAAGAAACAAACAAACTGACAAAGTGTAAAAAATGAACAGACTGTTTCTTTAAGAAGCGTTGACTTGTCCCTCAAAATGTTGTGAGACTAAACACACCAGACATTTTTAGTCTGTAAAGATTTGTTTTGATCATTTGACGTTTTGTTTTTGGAGTTACGTTGATATTTATGAATGATCTATTGAGACTAAAGTTATGACCTCGTCCAACAACAGCCACCTGGATCTACGTTCTCTTCGTTTTATAATAAAGAGCTCTGACGTTTATTATTCAGCCTCTCCACCTTCATCAGAATCTGATATGGAAATTATGACACTCATTTAAAACATCATTTTGTGGCAGCAGGGAATGAGAAGAGCATGTGACATTTAAACAAATTGCTGTTTTTGTATTTGTTTATTTTGCTAACTGACTCAAATTTATCTTTGTGGTTTGAATCTGCTCCATCACGACTGAAAGAGCAAATCATCAGCGATTAATATTTAAAAATTATTTTTGTGTTCAAACGTTTCTAAGAAGGACACCTTTGCAATATTTTTAGCATGGTGACAACACTAGCTTTTGTTATTATTGTTATTATTATTATTATTATTGTTATTATTATTATTACATGGTGTATTTATTCAAACACAGGGGTTCTCAAACTTTTAGGGTTCAGAGACCCCCTCATGTTTATTAAATACTTTTCTTCAATTTGTTTCTTTAATGTAATGGACATATTTGTGTTACATAAATACCTGGTAGTACAATTTAAACAAGAAGTATTTTTTTCATTTGACACAACTAAAATGTTTTTATTTCAGCTTCCTAAAATTACATTTTGGACAGAATTAGCGATATCAAAAACCACTTTAAAACTTTATCTATTCACATAATGAACTCTGCCAGTCTTCTTCTATTGTCACTCCAAATTATTCATTAGGTGAATCCATCCAACATCTTTACCCGCTTCTTCTTCTTGGGTCGTGGTTTTGCTGGTGCCCATGTCCAACCATCACTGTGTGAGAGGCGGGGGACACCTGGACAGGTCTCCAGTCCATCACAGGGACACCTGGACAGGTCTCCAGTCCATCACAGGGACACCTGGACAGGTCTCCAGTCCATCACAGGGACACACAGAGACAAACATTCTCTGTCTCACTTATGGACAATTTAGAGTCATCAATCAGTCTAACATGTTTCTGGTCTGTGGGAGGAAACCGGAGCACCTGGAGAAAACCCACGCAGCACGGAGAGAACATGCAAACTCCACCCAGAAAGGCCCCGGGACCGGGATTTGAACCTGCTCGCTGAGAGCCAACAACTCTACCAACTGCACCACCGTGCTGCCCTGATCTGTTTATCTTCCTGACATTTTGGGCATTTAACTCGTTTCACAGTGTTTGTGCTATTTCATCAACTCTTGTACCAAAACGTTCGGCTCATTCAGGACATGCCTGCTGCCACTTTTGGTATTTGTGCAACTTGTACTTTAAAACAAAAAAAAAAGCTTTTTCAGACGTGTTTTTTTCTTATTGAAAATGGATGGAGCGAGCGATGGAGCGAGTGATGGAGCGATCGATCGATGGAGCGAGTGATGGA